CTGGGATGAAGTCGAAAATTGTATGAAACCAGGGCCGTGCGTGCCAGCATACATTCATAGCCAACTAAAAGGGAAGAAGTTCGATACAACTCTGAGAAAGGTGGCTCCATTGACTGAAGACCACACTGCATTCTTGCCCTTGGTTTTTTAGCTTGAGGCCGAGTCCAGATAGTAACTCTTTGCTCGTTACTTTCCGTACATAACTACATATTATAAGAATCAAAGATCATGAAATGGGTGAAAAAATTCAGGTTAAACTATTCGTTACAAGAGACTTCTGATGACGAAACTGCCACAAGTGTGCTAGAGTATGATTAGAAAAACCGTAGATTAGATGAACTTTAACGAAAGCAAAAGTTCGTGCAAGGGAGCCATACCTTTTGCCTGAGCGAATCATAGCTGATAGCACCTTTTGTACGCAGTCATTCGAGACGAGTGAAGAATCGATCGTATGTCTAGAAAAAAATAAGAAAGAGATGCAAAGACAATAAAAAAATTAGAGTAGGGAATTTCCTCACCTGATCCAAAGGACACCACTCAAGTACCCTGCACGTCCAACCAGAATCTCATCGCTTGGATAGTCTTCCTAAATCATGTTGTGCGAAATCGAACGAGGAACTTAGATGTAACAACATTTATACAGCCGAACACATAGAAAACACCAATTTTACTGCATTAAACAATAACTTGGAGGAAACGATTTACCCTAGCTAAGACGTCGGACAATTTCTCGATTTTGGAAACAAGACTTTCTCTCAAATCCGCATAACACATCTGCGTTACATATACGCCAAGATCACCGCACAAAAAGCGAGCCTGTTTAGAGGAGGATCCTGAATAGTGTCAATAAAAGAGAAAGTTTGAGAGTCTCAACAATAAGTTCACGTCCCTTCAACAACAAAACGCTGCGCGTGAGCTAAATTCCTAATCAGGGCTCCGCGCGTACTTTGGTAATGGAATACCAATCAACCATTCGAATCAAATAATACTGAACTTAGTCGGAACAGTGACAAAAGCCCACTTCGCGATCCATTGGTACAATGCTTCCAAAGCTGGTCCGCCAAAGCAGTGGCGCTCGAACCAACAACAGGCCCTGCTCTTTCCAATGCGAAAGCCACACCTGACAATCCCGTGTAAGGGCCGACTGAAAAAAATAAGAGTCAATCGCTTGAAGTTAGTGATCCAGGCAGAACCGAACTTCACGAGACCAGAACTTTTCTGGAACTAAATTACGAGTACCTAAAACTTGACACTACAATGACTGAACTTAATTCCTTTTACACTCACAGCGTACTTATGGCCCCTAACTACTGTTCACCTTCACATTAGGATGAATCATGCGTTCATAGGATAAGTACGTATATTACACTCAATGACAAATTCAGCCAGCACTTTTCCAAAGAAGGGATGAGGGATGAAAAAAAAACTTCACAACCAACCAAAACCCGCTTATGTTTGTGAATATCATACCTCTTCTGGAAAGACAATTTACACCTCAGTTATGTTGGCAAGGTGAAACTCCAGTTCGGGGGGGGCCACTCCATTTTTTCTCCAATACTCAAGATAAGGATTAGAGGGCTCACGACACGTAATCGACTCATTTAAAGTAGACTTCTGATAAATATTGGTGTAATGGGTGAGAAACCCTGAAACGTTTTCACATTTCCGCCTGCCATGACCCAAGGGAACGGTCCTGGACCAGGAGAAAGGACACCTCCGCAAAGGGCTAAGGGTGCAGGAGCTCCAGGGTGGATCACCTGTGCAGAAAAGTGGATGGGATGTGGGCAGGTAGTGTGGAATGTAGGACATCCACCGGTCCTTATCAAAAGTACGCTCGAAATGAGTCGTTCACTTATTATCTTATCCGTAGTGTTCGATAGCCCAAAGAACTGCTCTCTAGTACTACGGATAAGATAGCAATGGAGTGCCCCCCCCCCGAACTGGAGTTTCACCCTGTGCAAATTATAGTAAATCTCCATCGACAGAAGCGGAGTTGGGATTGCCGCCAGCAAGTCATCGCGGGCCGCTGACTCAGATGTTTCGTATTCTGTATACACTATGCAAAAACTGCATAACCTATTCCCACAAGAAAAAACTAAATTCAACTAACTTTCTCCACAAGATGTGACTACATGCAACAACTTCCTGTATACTTGAACCGTCCGATAGCCAACACCGCAAGAAAAATAATCCAAGTCTCAATTCAAAAATAAAGGGGATCCAGAGCGACACCAAGGACATACTACACCCCTACTACAAAGGAGCAGAAATCAAATAAATATTTTCCGCCAGAAGTAATGGTGACTGTGACCACAAACTGTGTTGAACACCTTTTGAACGCGTTCCTTCCGTTCAAAATTCCACATCAGGGTATTAATCGCCCTGATATCCATTTTGCGTCCAAAACAATGTAACAGATGTGCTTGTCACAACACCAATTTGAAGGAAGCAATACCATAACGCGCAACCATAAGAGTACATGCGCACAGAAGCAGTTAACTTGGCTCCAACAACGCGAATGATGCTTAAGCAAAAGCCTGGTTGCTGAGCAGGACCTTCGCAGCACTGCCTCCAGCAGCGTTACGCCCACTTGTTCAGATGATGATTGGGAGAGCTGTCTGTTGGCTCTTCATTTTGGGAGATCGTTTCTCTTTTATCGGCTGTACTTTCCAACTTGCCCATTACTCTTTACGAATCAACAACACTATCTCGTGACATGAATTCATCCTTTGCCGTCGCATTTGCGTAATTTCGACGAAGTTATTTGCTTTCTTCACCATTCGCCGTACTAAAGAGACCCCCACTTCCCACCTGAACCCTCCAAGATCTATCGTAATCGCTGCCTCTAAGGCAAAGTGGCGTCAAAAATTGATACCAGGGTTCATGTTACTAACAGTAGGAAGATAGGGCGGTGAGGACGAATTGAATGCAAAGTTCGTTGTCGCTATAGCTAATAACACAACACCGGCAGTAGGAGGGCGAAGAAGTGCGTGACCATTTCGTTTTCGTTTCTACAAACACCGCGGAGTTTCATTACCTGCAAAGATTGGGACTGAGGTCGGCAACGCAGATTACTCCACCAATGCCCCCCTCTCCTCCCCTTGATGGTATACACTACAATGTTATTGTAATGGTAATCGGGCCAGTGAATATTCCCATATAATTTTTTTTGCACTGAAAATGATGTGAAGTGCAAAGTGGTTGCACTGCCAAACGAATGCCATATCAGTAACCAGGACGCCGAGTAGCTCTCTAGATGAAGTACACGAATTTTCTCTGAGCGGTTAGGGTTTTGAGCTGCAACGGTGCAATACTCCTAGCGTCAACATGAACTGGTCACAAGTCCCCCTGATGGACGCCGCAGGCTGCAAACACGCACCACGCAAACGTGCATGTTAGACTCGGCGATGGCGCTACCGCGACGACAACTGCCTTCGCGGTAGCGAGTGGGGCGTGTCGTTGTTGATTCATACGATTTGCATTGGGCGCCCTTTCCCTGTTCCTTGGCGTCATGCCAGAATGGCTGAACAACGACATGCCTCACTCTCGATCGGATTGCACAATCGCGGAGTTGACCTGGCAGTTGCCCCGTGAATTTCACATCCTACGCAACAATATGAATTAGAAGAATCCTTCTACTCTGCGGACCAGTACCAACGAAAAATTAGGCGTTTCTCATTCTCTAATGAAATATATACTCACAGTCGTCCAACTCCTCGTCGTCAATGTCTCTATTGATAATTTTCCCAGCAACAGTTCTTATTGCGTTCTCCAGCCATTCATTGGTAACCTGCTGCGATGCCTTCGCTTCGTGTCCGACGTAGGGATTCCTGATGTAGCGTCCCATCTGAAAAATAAGGAGCAAATAGTGTGATGATGCCAACTTTAGTTGAAGTTCCGTTGTTTCAGGCCCAACAAAGATCATCCATGAACCAAACTTTGCTCTGCTACATACAAATGTCGATGAGTACCACGTTATTTCATCCCTCTTCGATATTGGCTTACCAGCAATAACGAGATTCTCTCGTGCAAGTGTCGTTGACGTCCTGCTTTTTTTTTCAGGGTGCAGGTACAGGCGAAAGACTACAACTTAGAGGTCTGGAACAGCAATCATAACAAACACACAGCTTTTTTGAGAGATCGTTATGATGCCGAGGGAAAACTAGCTTATGCTGCATGTCTCGTTACTTGCACCTGAGCAAATGCTGTAGTAACGACAAGTACCATCACCCCGGGTGAAGACTAAGCCTAGGAGAGGGACGTCAGGGAGAACAAAGCTTACTCACGTCCTCTCCCAGAATCCCTTCCTTCCCTGAGGCTTGCTCCCAAGTTCTGCGACGGCCTCACACACTTCAGTGTCTTCCCTAACGACCGCCTTCTCGCTGAGCATAACTTCCTCTCTTTTTCCTGTTATTCGTTATCGTTAATCTTTTCAAAAGCAAACGACCGGCTGTACATCTACAAACGGGACCCGTCACTTGACCTTCAACCAGAAAAGTTTCTTGTATCAAGCTCTCAAAATACTGCATCAGTGATGACGCAAAAGTCGCTTTTTTACAGATTTGTCAGAAGATTACCTTTAAAAATGAGGACAGAAGCCGGTACGACACCGTCCCGTGGTAAGACACCAGCCGCAACAACAAGGAATAAGCGTAAATTTGAGACGTAGAATGAGCCACTTGCACTTTGGGGACTACAGACTTTACCACTAACTTGACGACAAACATTTTTGCGTGTTTTCAATCGAAGCGGGATTTTAGTGATCAATAGCCTTTTTTAACGTGTTTCCGCAGCTCCATAAGAACATACCTTGGACGAGTGAATTTTGGCCATCATTGTCCAAAAGGGTCTGTTAATGCGTAGGAAATTCGTCAAAGCCATTGACAGTCGACAGCTTCAAAACTACGTATTGGTATCGATTCCCACCACCTGTTCATCCTCGGTTTTTTTTTGTAAAATGTACTAAGATTGAAAATGAATACTTGAAAGGGTACAGTAGGCTGGGAGGAGCTTCCAGCGTCGCTAACACGAGATCCATACAACATGTGTTGATTAAGCTGACCATCGTTAGCCATTTTGAAGATAGAAATTAGTAGCAATGCGATGGAATGAGAGAACCCACTCTTCCTATTACATACTCTGTCAGCTTGGCTGCACATTAGAAGCTTTGCTATATGCTTTTACGTTTGTATTTCAGTCTGTCTCTCCATTGTTTCGTAAAATATCCCGTAAAAGTGACAGTGAAGGTGGTACAAGAAAGCGACCGCTTCAAGTCGTTTCGTCGAGATTGACTTGACGGAATTAATTTGACTAAAGACTCTTAATCTCCTAGGTGCTATCTTAGTTGGGGGGGGGACCACGCGGCGGCGCGGCGCTCTGTTCGTCTGCTCCTCCAAAGGCTTAGTCCAGGGGCAGTTACTATTTCGCCATCACGTGGCAGTTTCGAAATACGCGCCATCGGGGACTAAGCCTTGCAGGAGGAGACGAACAGAGCGCCGCGCCGCCGCGTGGTCCCCCCCAACTAAGATAGCACCATCTCCTATTCTCGCAGGCTCTACGTACCTAATCTTTTCAGCTGAATCTTCTAATTTCCTCTGGCCATTGTCAGACTATGCGAAACCATGAATTCGCTAGCGAATCGCGGGTACGAGCGTTGCCCCAGCGGTTCGAACGAGCGCCAACAGATGGAACTATGCACCAGCGGCGAGCGATGTACTTAGTGGCTTGGCAATGCTTGAAAGTGACGGGAGTCTTCTTTGTTCGTAAGTTCACTCTCGCCTTTTTCCAGGCTCTCGAGGGCATGGGGGAGCGAAAGGGCACAAGAGCCCGGGAAAGTGGCGAGAGTGAACGTGCGAAGGGCCTCTCGCCACTTTCGAACACTGTCAAATAGCTGGTACATCGTTCGAACCGTTGGCGCATAGTGCAGTTCGCCGCTGGCGGTTTACGGACTACTTGAACTTTCTTCCATGGTCCTGCCACGAATGGCGGAGAGCACAGACGATTAGAGAACGGCGCCTGGCTCGGCTCCAAATCCCAAGGAAGGAGGTGAGAGCCCTAGGACTAAGCCTTGTAGGGGGAGGGACTCCGAGGTGGGTGAGCCAACTACAGTGTGGCAAAAGTTTGAATGTGTGAGATCACAGTGGTCATGAGCCGCTGATAAGGCGAGAGAGCGCAGACGAAAGCGTCGAGTGAGGCAGCTTAAAGGGCCAAGTTCAAGTAGTCCGTCGACTCCGCTCGCGCATCGTTCGAATAGCTGGTAAACACTCGTACCCCGCGATTGGCTGGATTCGTAAAGTCTGACACTGGCTTATCGTCTTGCTTCCATATCTCCCGGGAAGTTACGTATAAACGCGGCTTTACTAACATCCACATGACCAGAGTGGACCTCAAAGATCAGCACCTATGGAAGAAGCGTGGTGCTCACGAAAGAAAAATTTGAAGGCTCTCAGCCTGACGATCATAATCGCTTCTTGTGATGTTTTTCAACAGAGACACTTTCATCGCTTGTGCAACCCTAGATCTGTGCGCGATCCTCGTGGGGGCGGGCTCATAGCGTACAAGTAAAGCCAGACACTGCGACCTTATTACCTCTTCTACAGCCACATAATAAAGGCGTTCACCTCTTCTCTCTGTACTTATCCCTAATATCGAATCCATTGAACCACGGGTGTTACCAAGGTGATGGAAGGGTCCAACACAACCATAAGTCTCCAGACCCGTAACAATGTCGCCTTGAAGAAAGTAGTCAGAAACCGTATCACATCCCGGATAGCCTGGGAATTCTTCCCCGAACAAGAGAGGGTCCTCTGCCTGGTAAGGTATACTCTCCCCGAAAACCCGGGAAAGGCCACGCCCACCGGTTCATGGGGATATCTCTCCGATTGATATGCAATCGTGGAGATATACCCGTAATTGACAATTTCATTCCGGGAGTTATCCCGAGAACCGGTGGCATTATCTTTCCCCGAGTTTTCGGGGAGAGCATAACCTTACCAGGGAAGGGGTCCCTCTCCTGTTCGGGGAAGCATACCTTACGGCTCCTGATAGTACCAATTTCTCATGTTGGGTGGGGTGTAGCAGTGGCATGAGATGTGTTTGTGTGGGCTTATCAATTCTTCAGTGACGAGTGGAATGATCTTTGGTTGATGTGAAAAAGCGCATTCACTGTGCTATATCATGGTGATAATCTCTCAGGTTAGTTGGTGGAGGAATGATGTTCCAAGTGTCGAAAAGTTTGGCTAAAATGGCCCCTTCCTTCTCGTCTGGTCCCACAACTCATCTCCTTCTCACGGCCTATATATACTCATATCATCTGATGTTACATATGACAAACTTTCAAACTCTGCGCCCTAACCCAGTCCCACTTTCTTCCCAAAAAGTCGCTGTCAATTTCACCCGATACGACCTTCTCCTTGCCCAGATAACCGAACAACCCCCATAAAGGAGTCCTCAACGTTTGCTCATCCTGGTCGTATAACTTCGTATAATGTATAGGCAAAATAAATGAAAGCGTCCATGGTGGCAGAGTGTCAGCAAGGCCACACCTCAAGTGTTATTCTTTTGCTTAGCGTAAACTATCCCACATGTTGTCGTCATTATATCTTCACTCAAAGGCCAGTGCCCTTCAAACATGAAAAAGACGTGCTCTTTGAAGCATTTAAAAGCTTGGCTCTTGAAGAGTTCAGATATTTGAAAGAAAGGTCTCACACTTATCTTTAGATCTTTGTTTGAAGGGAAGAAATGAGGCCACGAAAAAGGTTTCTGGCGCAACACTTGTTCTCGCCACTGGTTATATTCTATAATAGAATACTGCCACAGCAGTTAACGAAGTAGGGACTACAGCGTTACTGCTGGAGTCACGCTCTTCTGCTCTTGCGGTGGTGGACTGCTCAAGTTTATTCCTCTCGTTCAGGTTTTTCCCCTACGCTAGAGAGAGGGCGTTTTGCTGTTTAAAGTACATCTCTTGAAACCTGAGAGCACGTTCAGGCCTTAAAGGAAGACGATCTCGTCAAAACGTCAGGCCATAAATAAAGTCTTCACCTAAAACCTCGTTGGCAGAAGAAGAACACCATAATCACAACTACGCGGAGGTCCTACGAAGAGAAAAGTTAAAGCGTGAATATTACAGAGTTCAATGAGCTTTCTTCTGCAGCTGCAGACCATACAATTGCGACAACAAGCATCTTTCCGTCAACAGACCCAAAATGCGTACGGCTTACAAAAATCCAAAGAAAGGGCATAGTACCGATCCACCTCGCAATATTCAAGGACTCAGCAACAGCCCAGATGAGATCGTGTCGAACAATCCACTCTGTGTAGGAGCGAGTAAGCTGCGAGTATCACAGTTGTGCCGTTGTCGCGGCTCGATTGCGCAGCAGTGGAGATAGGGCCTTACAATGTGAGTTGACGGACGAGATACCTCGCGCACACTCCATGACACGCAACTTGGATTAGGTCATAGCGGCTAATTTGAATATGCGCGAGCTGGTGGAACCATGGAGCAAGCAAGTTCAGACAACTCGTCCGGACACGCCCTCCTTCGTTCAAGAGGGAGGAGAGGGAGACCTTGTTTGTTTGTTCTGGCGGTTTGCTTTGGTTTCTTTTTTTCATTTCCAGTCAACTCGGGATCCGCTATCTCAATGTCTACCACTAATACCCCAAAAATTTGTTCTGGAGTTGTTGCTTCGAGGAAAATGCATACGTTCAAACGCGTTGGATTGTATCACGACGCCCTTTCCCTGTCTTACGTGGCGTCCAACATTTTTTGATGCCCTAGTCAGCTCACCAGAACAGACAAATCGGCGCTAGTGTACCTAGAGGGGGTATCGCTAGCTGAGTCTAGGAAGA